TGGTATAGATTTACCATCAGAAGATATATCTATTGTTAACAATGAAAATCTAGTCCCTATAGATTTGAAGACTATGTTAAAAGGTAAGTATGTTGTATAGGAAAAAGAAAATCATGGTTTATTTCTCAAGTAGTAGGAGCAAACCCTATGTAGAATGAGTACCTAGATATATCTTAACTAGGAGGAGAGAGGTCAATCAAGTAAATATTGGAATGAATTTGATCAGGCTGCTGCTGTTTGAGATGGTATGCCATTCATCCTATGCTTGAGGTATGGAAAGGCTATGCAGCATCCAACATGGAGCAAGAATAGCAATACAGGCACAAGCAATTTATAAGATCACTACTGTTCTACTTAATGTAGCAAGTACCTGTCCTTAAGCAAACATCTTACTTTGGACTTACTTTGGAGAAGTTCATCAAAAATGGTAAGGTAACTACATTAATAACTATTACAGCTTGCTAACTCAATCCTAGAGCAAGGCTTTAACTAAGTCAAATATACTAGTATATACCTGTAATTCCTGGCTGGAGCAACTAATGTAAGCTGCTCTTGCTTGCAACTAGTCATTCTAAACCATCAAGAATCCTCAATTTTAAACCCTGATATACATGCTTTGTAATGTAAACATACTAAAATGACAGTAGTTTGATAAAAGGTTGTGTAATCAAGTATTGACTATTCAGCCAAAGATCTTGAGTAAGCTAAGACTAGCAATAAGAATATCAATCTCTCTAAATGCATGGACAAGCCCAAATAGATTACCATTTCTGGCCATATTGAGCTACTTTATTGATGAGGACTGGAATTATTAAGAATGTTTATTAGGATTTGAGTCACTCTCTAGTGTCCATTCAGGTAAACACATGACTGAGATTTTGATAAATGTTTTAGAATGGTTTGATATAAAGGTTAGTTAGGGCTTCTTGTCATTTTAGAATGCTAACTTTGAATCAGGGCTGGCTACTTGCTACTACAACTAACAATGCAAGGAACAACTCAACCATGTATGTCCATGTTGGAAAAATGCTTGCAATGTTAGATATACAGTAGGATAGTAAGCTAGCCATGGTACCTTGCTTGGCACATGTCATCCAGCTTGCTGTTACAGCCTTTTTAAAGGCATTAAGTATTACTACTAATAACAACAGCCTGCTTAGAACCACCTGATAGAACAAGTCTACTTTGGAGATTATAAGCAGTAGCATTTCATTTAGCAATACACTTTGCAAGGTATGTTATACACATGGTAACACTTATAGTAACTACCAAGCTTTAGAATGTGTTTCAAAGACTTGTATTCCATAAGGGTACATTGCTAACTATTTTGATAACTATGTTCATTACTAGGTTTGCATTATTGTCATATATGTAAATGAATTACCATAACAAAGAAAGTACTTCCTGAAACTATGGCTCAGAAAACCTTTAAACCTTATCCAAGACATCAAGACTTGTTAGAACTTTACATTTAATATGCTGGCACATGCTTTCAGTTTATAGCACAAAATCAACAACTTTGTAATACAGGAGGGATATAAGTTCTTCTGCCTTTGAGTCAAGAAGGAGGAGTAGCAACAAGTTCAATATCTTATTGCAATACTACAACCATTCAAAGACTAGACAGTTATACTTTCAAAAACAACTAGGCCTACCATCTACAAGGCTTGGGTTGTATATAATGATCTTTTTAAGTACATTGAGGAGCATGTTAGAAAATTGAAGCCAAAGAAGACATAGTAGAAAAGGGAAATTCTTCATGTGTTAGAAACTACTTGGACTAAACTTCATCATTATTATACCTTGACTAAGGACCAGGAGGACAGAGTCTACAACCTGAGTTATATTCTTGATCTATTAACCAAGCTTGAGCTCTATCAAGTGAAGATCCTTTTTATTTTTACATAATTAATTTTCTCATACAAGTCAGGCATTAGAGTAGTCAAAGGAGCATGTCAACAAATACCAGAGGCAGTTTCTAAACTACTATCAACAACATTATAGCCATCTTGATGTCAATATCCAGCCATTGGATGATGAAGAAATGATAGTCCAGGATATGAATGCAATGGCCTAATATGCTGCTTAGCAAAAGTAAAAAACAACTAATATGGACAGTGCAAATTAATATCTTAATAAACCTTGTATTGAATCACAGGATGTATTAAGGGTAAGTATGGTAACTACATTGGTAACTACCATGCTATTCCAGAACAGCCTGCTAATTATTTAGGTATGGAAAAATATGCTACATAACCAGTACACAGGCTTGAAGTAGATGGCAAAAGACTTTCTTGCCATTCCAATCTTGGGGGTTGGTAGTAAGCAATGCTTTAGTACTACAAGGCAGCTAATATCATTTGAGCAAAATCAGCTGAGTGCTGAAACCATCTACTTAACTATAATGGTCTAACATTATGATCACAAGTACCTTCTTGCCAAGCATTTAGTAGAGGAGGACTGGGATGATGAAACCACCTTATTTGCCCTTCATGATGATGAAGTTCTTGGAAAACAGACTGAGAATGCCATTATAAGTGATACAGAGGAGGACTTATATGATGTTAATGGTGAAAGTAATGGTGAAGTTCATGGTAGTGATTTGACATCAGGTAATAAAATTGTAGATTTAGATAATTTAAGTAGTGTCTCTAAACCTCAATTAATTTCAAGCAATTCTAATGCTAGAACTAGCAAAGAGCTTGATAAAATTGTTGTTAGTAGAGATCTACCTGAATCCAGCTTACCAGCTCTGGAAAACATTACAATTCTACCACCAAATAAGAAGTAGCAAGCTTAACCTCAAGTATCTCAGCATCAAAATTCTCAAAAGCAGTGAATGAAGAATAGATAGTTCTATATATAGTTCATTAAATGTAAAAAAGTTACAATAAAGCATTAGTATCACCTATAGTATAAAGTTTGAAATCTAGGTGTCACCATGTACAAACTGTAGTTACCACTGTAGTTACCATTATAAAAAGAAACAAAATGGCCTAAATATAGAAACAAATCAAGGATGGAGGACCAGCAGTGGACCACGAAAAAGACCGACCCAAGTTGGTCTGGTCCCAGATGCAAAATTCCACTGTTGGTCTGGTCTTTTTATGAGAAAGACCAAAGACCACCGGTTGCCACCGCCCCCAACGGACACCCTAGATGCGATACTTGCTTTCTCCCCGGGCATCAGCCGCCATTGACTTCGCTTTTCGCTTTGCTCGTGCCCTGCCTGGTCGCCGTCCCAATTTCCCCTCCGCTAGAGAATGACAAGATAAATGTTAGTAAAATAAAGAAAGTATGCCGGAGGGAAGGAGGCAGAAAGGGGGGGTGCGAAAACCAAAATAGATATATATTACTTCAATTCAAAAGAATCTTGCTTGGGTAATAAAATTATCCAAAAATTTTTGAAAATAAAAATAAAAGTAAAATAAGTGTCAAAATACTATCGTGATATCTGACAAATTTTTGTCACATTACGTATCTCGATATCTGCTTAAAATAAAATCCCCGTTGTCGACTATATAATTACCAAGAACAAAGTGGGCCATTGGTATTTAACAAGCGCTGGAGCATCTGAATGAAGCAACGTACCGTAGTACGTGAAGCATGCTGCCGAGAATGATGCAAGACGGACGTGGTAATTAGGATATTGATGACTGAGCCAGCTGTGATGACTCCTTCCTGGGAATTGATTGTAAACGTTACCGTCGACTGGAATACCGAGTTCTGACAATTACAGTTTGAGGCTTGCATTGGTGGCTGCAAGACACTTGACAGTTGACAGTTGACAGGGCTCGGGGCAAAAGACGGCCAAGGCGTCGCTTGTGGCGTCGGCACCCCTCCGTCCCCGCCTGTTCGTCCCGCCAATGCCGCTTTGACGTAGCCTAAATCGTTCCTTCTATAACTAAAAATTATCAACACCATAACAATACGTCGCGAACAAAGCTAGCACGCCAAACAATAACAACAAAATAATGACACGCATGAAATTAGAAGCACAGAACAACGCGCTTGTATCTAGGTACCCTTTTTTAGAAGAAAAAAAAAATACCTTGACCATGTACCCCGTAGGCGGCCCCATTTTGACGAATCGCGAGAGATCCAGCGCAGTGACCCCATAGTATAAAATTCACTTTGCTGTCCCGGAATCTCTTTTCCTCTTCTTTTTCCTTCACTTTTTCACCAAAACAGCACTGCGCAGACAGCTCTTTCAAGATCCCTCTTGAATTTGCCTTTGCGCGTGAGTGAAACTGATTGAAACATTCAAAGTTTTGCAAATACCTCTTTTCGAACAGTCATACAAACATACTGCAAATACCGCTGTGCGAAACATACGAACAATTGCGAACATCACTTTCAAATCAGATAAACAAAATGCGGATACCACTTATGAATCAAACAAACAAACCTTATAACTTGGTAACATTTCCCATGTCCTCCTGCTTCCCTGCATCTGAAAACAGCGAGCTCCTTGTCTTTATCCCCATCACATCGGTCAAGAAGCCTGCTGCCTGTCTCATGGTTCCTTTGCCATGTCGGACTTTTCACATTATACCTTGCAGGTTCGCACTGACATCGAATCCACAGTCACTCCTAGACACTTCTCGCTCTTCCGCGCTCTTCTGTGACGCGTTTTAAAAATCAAAATGTCTTCTCAAAGCCTGCTGAAAATGACGAGGTGGAAGGATTGGAAAGCAATTTGGCAATCTTCAGACTTATACTCCTGGCACTGCCTCTCGAATTGCTGCGCGCAAGATTCTCAAGGCCACTGGCACCCGTCGTCGGGGAGTCAAGCCAGGCAATAATGTCCCCGTGGTCGCTCCCCCTCAAGCCCAAACCAAAAGAAAGTCTGGTACGAACCATTTCCCCCATATACCTTCGATATTATTCAAAGTGACACGCACAGCTGACAAGGAGCAGGCGACCTCCCGCATTCCGCTCAGCGCAAAAAACTGCTCAAGGAAAACGGCCCGATCAATGCTATGCCGGCAGCATCGGCGATGCACCTGTATGCCTGTGGCTTGAACGACAACGGAGAACTGGGCCTCGGAGGAAAGTCTTCGGCTGGGTCTGTGCTGAGGCCGCGGCATTTGAAGGAACTCGCAGAACGCACCGCATATGGCGGGATCATTAACATGGCAGTCGGAGGAATGCACTGTGCGGCCCTCACTGCAAACAACAAGATCTTGACGTGGGGAGTCAACGATAACTTTGCTCTGGGGCGTGACACCACTTGGACTGAAGGCCTGCGAGATGCGGGTAGTGACGCTGATAGCACCGACGGCGACCTGAATCCGCTGGAAGCCACGCCGACGCCTATTGACGAGCACCATTTCCCACCGAATACGAGCTTTGTGCACGTTGCTGCTAGCGACAGCGCAACTTTTGCCGTCACCGAGAAGGGAGTCGTATTTGGTTGGGGTACCTTTCGGGTAAGTATCTCTTCAGACAAATTTCATATACGAATCAACTGACAGAATTCAAGGGCGCCGATGGCATTATTGGCTTCTCTCCTTCGACCCGTATCCAAAAGACGCCTATTCAAATCTCGGGCCTGAAACGGGTGACAAAACTTGCCTGTGGCTCCAACCACGTGCTGGCTCTGGATTTGTCTGGTCGCGTCTTTTCCTGGGGCTGTGGCGAACAAGGACGATTGGCAAGAAGGATCCTTGCACGTCACGCCCACAAGAGCTTGATCCCTCAGTCTGTTGGCCTCAAAAACATTCAAGACATTGGCACTGGAAGCGAACACTCCTTTGCCGTTGATGCTAAAGGAAAAGTCTGGTCATGGGGTGCCAACGGCTTTGGCCAAACGGGTGTTCAAGACAAGAACGGAAACAGAGAGGAGTCTGTCCTTCGCCCAACCATCATCAGCAGCTTCGACGGAACTGCAGGAAAAGTTACCCTCATCACTGGAGGGAACCACCATTCTCTTGCCCTCACGGAGGCCGGCTCCTGCCTGACTTGGGGCCGAGCGGATTCGATGGCCTGTGGACTCCGGGTACCACCTGCGCCAAGTGCCACTGCCACGCCCAAGCCGAGGGTCTCAATGCCGCTCTGGGCTCGGGACAACCCTGAGGACTCGGATATTGTGATGTGGGATGAGTCTGTGATGCAGGCAGACCATAGCTCTGCAGGCGTCGACGAAGCAAACATTGTTCGAGATGAGGGTGGTCGTGCCCGAATAATTTCGGCGCCGACAATTGTCCCCGGTTTGACGGACATTGTCGCAGCTGGTGCAGGCTCGGACCACTGCCTAGCCGTGAGAAAGGATGGCCACGTCTTCGGGTGGGGCTTCAACACCATGGGGCAAGTGGGCGTAGGCACCGAGGACGATGTTGAAGAGCCAGCGCTATTGAACGGCAAGGCAATTCGAGACCAGAAGGTCATTTGGGCTGGCTGTGGAGGGCAGTTCTCTGTTCTTGGTGTTGTCCCTTCTTTCCCGACTTCGCCAGTTGCACCAGCTCCTGCTGTGCCCAACTAGATTCTGAAAGCCTGAAAACCTGCCAAAGCCCGTGACCTGACCGAGTCGAAAAGGGACCGTGTCTCGCGGGTTGAGTCGACTTGGCCTTTTCTGTTTCTGTGTTTGAGCTCTCGTGTGCTCGCAGGAAACCGAAAGGGCCACATCGATTCCCCGCTGAGCTGCCTTGCTTGGCCATTTCACGTTCACTGATGCTTTGGGTGAATCTTCTTTCTGAAAACCTGTTCCATTTTGTCTTTGGACGCAGATGGGTTTGTGTCTTTTATCTTACCTGTATCTGTCTGGATGGGAGCCAATTTTCTTCTCCCCACGTTTTTCTTCTTTCTGTTGGTTGTAGATGCAAATCCTGGATTCCTGGTGTACCAGAGACTCAGAACTTTACGGGCATGTTTTAATTTTCAACTGACCTGCCGTGGAGTTGTGTCAATTGCCGTCTACAGCCCTACACTGTTTACTAGCGGACTTAGTATTCGTTTAGCATCGTTACATTATCTTTTACTGGCGCTGATGGAACATCTGTTGACTGAGATGGAAAAGGTTGGAGATCGTTTTGTATCGGTTATTTAGTCTTCCTGGGGTTGGAAGCAATATTCTGGTCCTCTTTTTTCTGCTCGATGTTAGCAGTTTCCAAAATTCTATCCTCTGGGATAAATACTTTGATTCTGTTCTCTTGAACTTTTATCATTGCGAAATCTTCAAACACGCACTCCCTATGCACTTAGATAGTGTGAATTAGCGTAGCTGCATACTTATGATAAGTTAGAGGGTGTTTAGAGCTGATCAAGTCCACATAGTCATTTCCACTTGTCGAAGCAATTGAACGATGCGGTTAAATCCGTCAATTGGCCAATAACATGGCGATACAGTCGCTCTTAATTAACAAGAAAGGGCCAGAAATTAGATAAGAATAAATGAATGAATGAATAGATAATAAAGCAAAATATACAAGCCAGCGCCCCAAACGTCAAAAGTAGAGATGTATGACAGTATGAGTTAGAGTGGTATCAGAAAAAAAGGTCTATATAAAGTTGAGGAACGACATGGGTAAAAATCGTCGACAACAAAACAGGGGAAAAGAAAAGAAAAAAGGCATTCAGATAATCTAATAGATATATCTAAAAGTCTTGTCTTCTTTATCAGTGATATCCTCACCGGCATGGAACTGGCGGACGTCCTTCTCTTGCTCGAGCTTGTCGCGGGAGATATTTTCCCAGCGCGCAATGGCCCAATAAGCTGCAATAGAAAGAGCAAAGAGAATCCATGAGACAATTGCGAGTATAAGGCCTTGCTTGTATCGAGGAGCAGCTCCGGATTTCCAGAGCTGTGGTCCGCCGATGCAGCCGACACAGTAACCGATAAAGAAGAAAGTATTGACCACGGCCTTTTTGGTGTTGCCCTTGACGTTGGAGGCGCCTAGACTGAGCGAGATGACCATGACGTCTGAGATAATCGAAGCCTGCATCGAATCCGATCAGATTAGCTACGACGAACCTCTTCAAAAATTATTGTTCAATGGAGAAAATAGGGGCTTTTTATAGGAGCAGATATTTGCAAGCGACAACGAGAGGAGACCTACCAGCCAAGACGCGGCAATCATTCCCCAGCCAGAGTCGAGAGAGAGTTTCAGCAACAAAATATTGCCGACCAGCGGAGGGATGCACAGAGCCAGGGCGACCATGCATCGTTTACGAGGAAAGATGAGGCATCCTATAACAGCAATCCAAATAAAAACGATCTGAATTGCACCAGAAGGAGAGGTGTAAAGCAAAGTGTCGTATTTATTGTATCCGAGGTTCTTGATCACGAGGGAAGCAAACTATCGGGGAAACTCATTAGCAAGCGATAAAAGGTAGGCCGTAGACATGAGGGGCAAAGAAGAAATTTTTGAATGGTCTACTTACCGTCAATACAGGAGAGTTCAGGGTCAAAAACAAACCAAAACAGAAAACAAGCCAAGATTTCGGATCAAGTAGAGCTTCACGAAGTTGAGACCAAGAGAAATTGGTCTTGTCACCGCCATCGTGGCTGGCGGCTAGACGTTGAGCTGCAACCACCTTTTCCCTTTCATTCAAGAACCATGCCTGCTCCGGGCCGGACGGCATGGCGAAAAAGAAGATAACACCTGAGAGCGCCGTGAGAGCGCCACAGATCAGAAACATGACACGCCAAGCAGCCAGGCTCAGAGCATGGTTCTTGCCGATACCGTACATGAGGAGGGAACCAATGACTTGGGCGAGTCCGTTCATGGTAACCCACATGCTGTAACAAGAAAGATACTCGTCAGTATGGAAACAGTCGTGTCAAAAGGAGAAAAGAATCAAACTGACCCAGTTCGCATGGCATGCTCATTTTTGCGGTACCAAATACCGGTGATGGTGACAAACGCAGGAGAAACGGCGCCCTCAGAAAATCCAAGCATAAATCGAACAGCAGCAAATCCTGTGAAATTGTAAGGTGCAGCAAGGCACATGCAAATGCCTCCCCAGATAATACTTTGCGTCCTGTCAGCTCGTGCCCCTTTCTAAAAGTAGACTTTTAGACTCAGAGTGCAAAGTCTGAGCCTTCCATACGGAGTCGGATTAACTCACATGGTAGCGCCGACAAATTTCATTAGAGGAAGCCTGCTCATCAGATAGATAAATGGGTATTCGGCGACAAGTTGGCCTAGAGAAATTTAATGAATAAGTAAGAATGTTTTACGTGACAATAGGGTTAGGCTGATAGAAAGGTTACCAATATAGAAAATAGAACTACACCACGAATACTCGGTCCCTTTGAGGTCGAGGTCCTCAATAAGACCAAACACCGAGGCGTAACTCAGACTTTGCTTATCGAGGTCTAATAAAGTAATTAGCAACCACGATCTTACTTGAAGTAGAATCAATCAAACTGGTCGGCTACTTACACTGGAAGAAAAAGGTCATGCACATCTAAAAATGGTAGAACGAACCATATGTTAGTATCTTTTTTCTTTTTTTCAAAAAGAACAAATGATGAAATGCTCTTCAAAGCCAACACATGGAATCACATACAATGGGAAGAATGACACAGTCAATCTTTCGCAACACGCGCTTCTCTTCCTGAGGATCAATAGGACTGGTCATGACCTCACCAACCGCTTCCTCAGCGGGCAGGGCAACGCTCTCGTCTGCTTTCTTGATGTCACTCATGTTTGGAGGTCGCAATGAGCAAGTAAATAAATTTCAAAAATCAGATTTGCGAATTGGCCAAAGTCCAAAAAGAAAGGAGAAATCGAAAAGCTTTTGTTCTATTCAGGAACTTTGATATGGGCCCATCGTGCCAATTGATTCTGGGGGACGTCGGTTTCTAAATAGATCCTTTGGAAGGGAAGTAAGTCAATATCGACTCATGCCATGATCCTTATCAGTCTCGGCCGTGGTTTTTTCTCCCCGTAGATGGGGGACGCACAGGCACTCCCTCGTGGGCAAGTGACCCGTTCCTCGATTCATCAGGGTCCAAAGCGGCATTCCTAATGGCATTGAGCAATCAGGTCCAAGTGGTCAAGCTGATAAACAAAAAGTCAAGATAGGACGATGGAGGGTCGGATACCTGCAACCGACGTTGCTGATAAGATTCTCTCTTTGGCGTCGGCAAGTTGCCGATGGTCTTCCCTTAGGTCGGGATGCGTCGCTAAACGCCGTCCCCGCCATCGGGAAGTTGTCGATAAACCCGATAAGCCCTGCCGGTCGCATGTAAACAGTCTCTCAACATCCAATATAGTATATGTGGGGCAAAAGAGCCCTTGCCTCTGATGCGGAGGACCCTTAATGTAGTTCGCGGCCCTTTTTGATAAGAAGAGGGAAAAGATCCGAGATTTCTGCTTTCATACGGTTATATATCCGCTGTGCAACCTCGACTCTATTACTTTCTATAGAATCTCTATTCCATACGAATTGTTGACGCATTGACGAGAAAAAGCCTTGCTGGTCAATCAGGGATACCTTTGGCTACCTAAAATCGCAAATCCAATCCTGTTCGCAATATGGTCACCGTCATGGCGCCTCCCGAGTCAGCGGTTAAACCATGGAAGCCCGGTCCGCAAAAGCGCTATGTCCTGCGAGGCGCGAACGTGGTAGATACAATGTCTGGATCTGTCCGACGAAATTGCACCGTCAAACTCGCTGGAGGAAAAATCGCGAGTATAACTGATGGTGATGAGGATGATGTGGCAGAGGACGCAACAATTATCGACGTAACAGGGAAATATCTGTGCCCTGGCCTCATTGACTCCCATGTTCATCTGTGCGCAGTCACGGGTGAAAAGGATCTGGGGAAGCTGTTCAATTTGGATTCGACCATGGCCGCCATGCGTGTGCCGTATACTTGCCTACAGATGCTGAGGCGTGGCTTCACTACCATTCGGGACTGTGGCGGCTGCCCGTTGGCGCTTAAGGAAGCGGTGGAGGATATGGTGCTTCAAGGGCCGCGCATTTTCAGAGCAGGTCTCGCCATCAGTCAAACAGGCGGCCACGCGGACTTGCGTGGCCCTTACGATCATACACAGTGCTGCGGTGGCACTATCTCGGCTCTTGGACGAGTATGCGACGGCGTCCCAGAATGCATCCGAGGCACACGAGAAGAACTGCGCACCGGGGCAGACTTCATCAAGATCATGGGAGGCGGCGGTGTTGCCAGCCCGACCGATAAACTCGAGAATATCCAGTTTACTCCCGAAGAAGTCCGGGCGATCACGACTGTTGCGAGAAATAACGGCACCTACGTTACTGCTCACGCCTACACTCCTCAAGCGATTCGTCAGGCTGTTGATAATGGTGTCATGGGTATTGAGCATGGCAATCTAATTGACCCGGAAACGGCCAAATACATGGCAGCAAAAGGCGTATATCTGACTCCTACGCTGATCACTTACTCGGCCATGAATAGCCCGGAGTTCAAGAGTTTCCTGCCCCCAGAATCAGCCGAGAAAAATGTTCAAGTACTTGACGCAGGAGTCAAATCATTAAAGATGGCTTTCGACGCGGGCGTCAACATCTGTTTTGGAACCGATCTTCTTGGACCGATGGGTATACTGCAAACTCATGAATTTGCTTTGCGGTCTCAGGTCCTGTCGGCGGATGCATTGTTGAAAAGCGCAACCGTTACCCCGGCAAAGATGATGAAGCAAGAAGAAAAGTTGGGGCAAATTGCTCCGGGATTTGTCGCTGACATTCTCATTCTTAACGCCAACCCTCTTGAGAATATCAAAATCTTTGATGCACCGGACGAGCATCTGCTGGCAGTGCTCAAAGAAGGACGTGTCCATGTGAGCCGATGGTCAAAACTTCCCGAGGATGTGTTAAAGCGGCAGTCATTTATTGAATAAAGAATATTCTCAACTGGAAATTTTACTGTTACTTCAGGGAGGGAATTCTCCGACTCTCCTGCTTTGAGCTCGCATCGTTGAGCTTCAGACTCAGCCAGCTGCTCGTTTGTCTCTGCATTGGCAATACTTTATGCCCCTTTTCGCGACTGTATTAAGCTTGACTTGCAGTCATGTCTCAGAGAGTCAGAAAATGAATCACGAATCCTTACTCGTTTAGCAAATAAACAAGCTTCCCATGTTGGGTCTCCAATTCTCAATACTCATGACTTTTCTGGGGTATAAAAGGCGAATGACATGGCTCAGCGGTAGATAAATGGGAAGATGGCTATAAAGAAAATACATGATCAAGACCAATCAAAATATAATTTTAATCTCATTCTCCTTGTTGACTTGATTGATTTTCCTTTTGCAACTGGAGCAGAACTTAACCGACCCGTGATCCGCCTCTTCTCCTGTCCGATTTCAGCTTTTTCTTTCAACTCATAGCAAGTTGTATCTGCGAAATGTAAATGATGCCATTCCTGTTGAGATGAAAAAGAAAGGAGTAAAGAAAAGAATTACCAGATGCTGCTATGCACCAAGTAGATTGCACCCGAACCCCTAAAAGCCTACCCTTTCCGCAGTCTAGCATCAAGTGAGATTACCATTCCAGTCGCCAGCCATTTCATCGTCATGTACAGAGAAATTGAACAAGTCGAGGCCCGTGAATCCGAGCATGAAAAAGTCTTCAACATGATCCGGCACTTGTGCTGTCATCTCGTCAAAGTTGTTCGATGAGCCTAGTTCATGATCACGCCGATGTGAACCTTCGCTTTGATAGTTTTCTGGTCTCGGAGTAGATGAAGTCTCAATTTGCTGTTTTGTGGCGCCTTGATCGAGTAGAAAATTAGTGTCTAATGGTCTAGCCGTTGCGATATTATCTTCAGGCATGCCAGCTGTTAAAGCATCTCCTGAAGAGCTGTTCTTTCCCATTTCTCGATCTAACGAGAATGGAAAACTTTGCGCAGAGCTTTCTGTTGCCCCGGGGGATATGGTCCGAGTTTCTTTAGATAACCACTGCGCCCAGTCCTCGTATCCTACTACATTGTTTGTATCTGAACTCTTTGCGGTTGATATTGAATCTAGTCTTTCGACAGCTTCATCGGCGAGCCTTTGAAAGCTTTCGACCAGTTGCAAACCTATCTCAGCAGTCTCTGATCCAAAGGACATGAATCGAAGCGTGTTGAATGCAAACTCCGTTTTTGACTCGTAGGTAGAATCCCTTTTCAGAATGCCGTGAAGCAAGATAATGATAGTGGAGGTACTGCATCCCTGAAAGTCGGTGAACGAAAACCTCGCAAGCTGCTCACATTCTGTAAGTATCTCAAAAAGGGAAAGCATTTTGTTCGCCGCCTTGACACAGCTTTGCGCCAGGAGCTGAGTCTGTTCATCTATGTTTGTCTCGGACTGTGATCCTTGAAATGATTGTTTAAGTTTTTCGCGCACCAATATTAATAATGGGATTCGGCACATGATAATCCAAGCATGGTAATAGTTCATGTAAAGATGGATCACTGCCCTGAAACCTTTTTGTTCTGGTCTGCCATTCTGAAGTCGTAGAAAATCTGGAAGAGCCCGTTTCCATGCTTTAAGGTCTCTCTTTAGCTTATCAGTTTCTGACTTGACAACTTCGGCAGAACTACTGAAAATGTAAGATCTGAACACGTAATTGTTAGGTCCATTGATATGAGGGGGAAGCAAAGGCCGCCTACACTCGTCTAACAATTCGGTTCAGAATTCTCGTCAAGCTGACATTTGCCATCTGATGGAATATATTGGATTGAGCCTCGGGGAAATCAAGCTCTGAGCAAGGCGCAGGCAATGGAACGTCTATATCTTCTTCTCTGATCGACTCGGGTCTGCCCATTTTGATACTCAACACGCTAGAGACCATAGGAAGAAATGTTAGCTTATTAAAGTCAACTTTATGCGAGACTGATTTCAATTACCGTTCCAGGGAATAAATACTCCACCAAAGTCTATTGCGTATCTCCAGTACAGGCGCACTAAGACCCGACTCATTGGCCCTTCTATGGAGACCGCTTGCAACTGCTATTTTAAGCGCCAGGCCAAGGTAGAAATATCCCAAATCGCGTGGACGTGAGGGAAGACAATACGTTGCCATTGCTGTACACGCTTGAATGGCCTCAATCGTGCACCTCGAGATGACCGCAGGGAGAAGCATTCGTGCCCTTCGATAGAATATCGAACCTGGGTCCTCCCGAAAGTCCCCTGGTTCGGGAGTTGCAGTTGCATTGGGGGATCTAAATTGTGTAAATTGGCTACCCAATGCGAATACCATAAGAACAGAACAGACAAATGCAGGATCAGTCACTGCCCTCGCAGCCGAGCTGTTATATAGTTCATCTAATCTGCTTCGGAATGCTGGTTGATGGAAATAGAAGTAGCTATCTTCTGCATAATGAAAATATATTGAAAGCAAAAAGTTTGAAATATTTCGTGGCGGAAATTGAGCCAGGGCATCACTGACTAGTTGCCGATCAGATGGATCTAGTTGGAGCACAGTGTGGTCCTGCAATCTGTTAGGGCTTACATCCAGGAAATTCATATAGAAGAAGAAGAAGAGGAAGAAGAAGAGAAAAATGCAAGTACATTTAGCGTTGGAGACTTTTCACTATACGTGTGGTGTGATGGCCCCATAAACATTGACTCTCTGATCCTTGCGAGGAAGAGTTCGTTGGATGTGGTAGCAGAATAGACTTGAGCGTGGTTAATCGAATGAGGTGGTATTGCAGATAAATTGATCGAGATACTTACATGCTTCTGTAGGCCCAGCCGCACGTAAACGCGAATGTGGCTCGGGCATTGGATTTTGCTGCCTCTCTGGAGACTGCAATGGGGTACTGGTCGAGTTCATCTGGGCTCTACAGGAACCGCCCTGAGACGCAGTACCAATTGATCCGGGAGATGCCACTGGTGTTGCGTTGCTCGGTGATGCCCTTTTGAGAGTTAGACCCAATTAAATGGATAGTAAAAGGGCTACTTACCTTGATACTTCATCAGCCTGCAAGATATCTTCATAAATGCAATGCGCGCCCCGACGGCGGCATCTCCAACAAGGTCCAGAGTCGGTTGGGATGCACCGACTCTTTCTGTTTCGGCAAAGACGACATCTGGACAATGGCATAGTATATTAGCAAGGGCCAATGGATAGATTTATCTTCAATAATACAAGAACATACGCTCGATATGCTCTTCTTCGATTCTCCTTTGGTACCCTTCGTGGATTCCGCAGTGTAGGACTTGCTTTTCCAATCATATGAAATTATTTTTAATTAGTGACAGTGCATTGCACATTTCTGAGCTGCACCGGCACAATAGTTTCTCACGTCGCTTTGAACTTGTTGGAAAATACTACTACAGAGCATTCAGAGGGGGAAACACCGGGTATTTCATCACATATTCCTTATCAAATGGCCGGTCCGGGGTCCTCGGGCGCTCGGCGCCGGTGCCGAACTAGACGCATAACTTCCGCCACGAACCATGTGTAACAGAGTAATAATCAGTCAAAGCGCCTAATGACCCCTACATGGAGGAGCTGCGTATTTCTTTTACTGTTGATGGGAAAGATCCAGAATAAGAAATGTTAAACAGCAAAAATTGCAGGAATACATCAAGATATATAATTTCAATCTTAGTCAAAATTGAATGTCAAATTTACATGTTGAGATTGCCAACTTTTATGTCTACCAAATATGCTTTCAATATTATACACAAACGCCAGTCTTTATACAGTCCACTTAATGTACATTGCTTCTACATGCTGCTGTTTGCTCAATGTCACAGTGACGTAACAAAAGTAACAAGCAGAGGAACAGCAGCGGAAAAGGAGAGCACCTCAAGATCAAACCTCTCTTTAGGCCGACTTGTTCTGGTCACGGTCAGATTGGCGTAGGCGACGCTCCTGCTGTTCAAGCTTGCGCTGATGCCATCTTGCACGGCGTTCATCTTCCAGATCCTGGTTTTCGCTCTCAATCTCACGGCGACGGCGCTCCTCGTAAGCCTTGTTCTGACGCTTTTCCACAACCGAGCGTTCACCGGGCGCCGATGCCTCGGTACCCATGTATTTCCTCGCGGATTTCATCATCTCGTTGGACATGCCCTTTACGTCTGAAATCGTGCTGTTGATGAAGTTCTTCTTCTCCTTGGGTTGCTCTGACTTCGCATCAGCCGCCTCCGACGCTGCTGCAATGGTGGACTGCGCTGTCGGAGGCTGATAATTGGGAGAAATGGTAATCCGCCCGGCTAATGGAGACTTAGGGCCAATAGGGCTAGTTGATGCAGGCCCCGGTGTTGAACCAGACTGGGGCGGCGGGGTTGGGGGGATGCCAACCATTGCCCGAAAAGTGGGATTCTTAAGGAGGAATGCCTGGAGAAGACCAAATACGGACGAGAAGAAGAATGATAATTGAAGCGCAGCAGGCCAATAGACCATGAAGCCTCCAGCCATTAGGGGGAATACAGTGGTCAAGACTTTGTGCACAGCAGGACTCATCATTGAATTCGTCTCGACTCCTCTCTGTTTGACCAAGAAAATACCAGTTAGTTTTCATTTCCGACATATAGCTCAATTGTTTGCGCGGAGTCACGTCGGAAGTGGACATTACTGACCTTCAAAGAAAAGTAGACCGCAGCCGCCGTTCCAATGGGCAAAAGAAAGAGGGGATCATGAAGGGTAAGATCAGTTATCCATGCAAACCCGCCATTCTCAAAGCCAGGCACTGGCAGTGACGCCATACCACGGGTCAATCGGAAGATACCATAACCAAATGGAACCTGGAGCATGGGGAGGAAAGCTTTCCAGGTCTGGATATTTGCTCTTTTATGAATCTGCATCAATTCATTTCGAGTCATAATCATTTCTGTGTTGTTCTTCAATTTGCTCGCGGCCATCATCTTGTCTCTTATAGGCTGTGTAACAGGGCTGATAATGGCTAAACGAGCACTCGTCACGGCAGCAGCGATGGTGGGTTTGAGCATTGCCAGACGCAAGCCCGCAGTGACAAGGAGAAGGGACGCCCACCATGGCGTACCGCAATAGACGTGGATATGTTCGAGAGCCCATTGGACCATGGAAGTAGGGCCCCAGCCATAGTCAAGCCCTAGCTCTTTAAAATAGCCAATATGAGGGGTAACGCTTGAAAGGCTGCCGGTAGATAAATCGCTCGCCGCGTCTAGGGAACTTGTGACAAACCCGTCACTGGTGCCCTGCGCATGGGAGCCTGCGGCGGTTGTGTTATGACGGATGGATCGTGATGAAGCGATTGGCAACGCCGACTTTGATCTAAGCGCGGCCCATGGTGCGCAATAGGTTCCTGAAAGGCCGCGGGAGACGTTTATGCGTCCATTGAATATTGACGCTGGACCGGAAGAAAACTATATTCACAGTGAGAATGTGCAGGGGATGCTGGATGCAGAACTTTCACTTACTTGTCTTGATGGGCCTACAGAAGACACCAACCGGCTGAAGCTGGCCGTGACAGTCCGGCTGGACGTCTGCAGCCCTCTGCTGGGAATCATCTCGACCGGTTCTGCGGTTCCTGATGGAAACAGCTTTCGGCCGGCGCAAGTTCAGAATGTACGGAGGCAGGGTCCGCGACAACGGCAATTTCCGCAATACCCCTCTCCGGACACCCCATAACGTGCTGATGGCACAACACTCAGGTGCTTGATGATTGGTATCATGAAGAAGAACAACACAAGGCTGAGGATTCAGATTCGAATTGATACCAGCTGGAGACTCCGAATGGATATACATAACGGGATAATCAGACTCAAAGAGACTTTTTGGCTTGAATTTCATTTTCCATTAGATCAGCCATATGAAACTGTAAAATACTCGACTCTTCCAGCTATGTATAACCAAACTCCTCTTTTATAGTCGCAATTCCTTTGTATAAAGTCAGAAAAACCACCCCTTCCGGTAACTTCTATATACAAATCATGTTATTGAAACGATCTTCTGTTGCCACATGCTTCCTTCAAATTATGTTACTCGAGCGTAGCCAGGTCTTGCAACTCGGCCTGACCTCTGCTCCGCCGCTGCGACCGGTCATCTCGCACTTCGATGCCAGGCCCAATTGGTCGCGCATTTCTGTTACGATGACTCGGAAAGATCTGAAAGTTGGCATTAGCACTGGATATCCCAAGGCTTCAGGCAAGATATAAAGACGGATAATCCATTGATCGAGAAAGATGTCTATGTGAATTGGAATGACCAGTCCGTAACCCTTCAAGCTGTTGTAATAGTATAAATACCTTTGTACCAGACCAGCCTAAGCGGAAGGCGGCTTCGTGTGCCAAAAGCTCTCCAAAACCCAGCATCAAGCCATTCACAAAAGGAAGAATGAGATTGATGGCAGCTCCTCTTAGCAAGCCCCAAATTGTCGGAGGAGAGTAGAGCACCAGAGGAGAGCTAGAAGATGAAGGAGGCGAGGATGACATCTCATTATTGGCGGAGTAATTCTCACTGTCGGAAGGGATCGTCATGGAGGAGTCGTACAGCTCCGCGCGGGCATCATCGGAGGGTGAAGCCATGATGAGGAGGTGAAACGCGCAGGAGGTGGAACCAAAGGTGTGACTGGTGTATCAAGACCGATTTATCGATTGCTTCGTAGCTTGTGAAGGGAGTCGAGCAACTTTCTGATCGTAGCAGGGTCACCCTGATACTATCCACTCCACTGGGGAAAGGTCAAGGACACCAGCCTCAATGTGGCTGAAGGTTTGGTGGGGAATAGCTATGCTTAGTCATCCAATCTAGGCAATGACGCGCCTCGTCACGGACACTTAGCAGATAACTAACAGGTTGCTTGGAAACGAAACACATCTACGTTTGACATCAAGGATCACTTTTGTCTTCTCAACTAGAACTATCGGGACTGGCACGAATCTCGCGTGAGGAGTATTTCTAGTGCCGTTTGATTCTCAAATCTTTGAAGCTATCATTGCCTCATCCGCACTGAAACAGAAGCTTTCCTGGGCAGTTGTTTAATTGAATCATGGCGGACCCCCGAACGGACCGCGACGGTCTAATTTCTCAATTTTGCAGCCTCACAGGTGCAGCTCCAACAGAGGTGAGCTGTCTTTTTTTGCCAATCTGTTTAATGTATCGAGATTAACTGTCTTTGCAGGCGGAGCAATATCTCGCCACGAATGCCTGGGACATCAGCGCCGCTGCCGCAGAATACTACACAGCACAGGAAGAACAGGGTTCCCAGGCCGATTCCCAGGCAGACACAGCCGAAGATGAGCTTTACTCTGCTCCTGCTCCATCAAGTGGCGCTTCTGCTCTTGGTGGCCGAACTTTAGGCGGAGAGGGTGTTCCATCCCAAGCAGTCCCAACTGCCCCTCCTGCCGCTGGACCATCATCATCATCATCATCCTCAACCTCTAGACAACCCCAAAGGTCGAAGTTTGCTACACTTGGAGATTTAAAACGCGAGGAAGGTGGACCAAGCCGCGGTCATGCTCACGACGATGATGACGACGAGGAAGAGAACCAAGACTTCTTCGCTGGTGGAGAAAAGTCCGGCCTCGCGGTGCAGAACCCCAACGATCCCATGGAGCGGATAAAGAGTATCATATCAAAAGCGAAGAGGTGAGTAAATAGGGTGTATTTTTATATTAGCATTTTCACAAGTTACTGATGCAAATAGACCGGTCTCCCCAATTGAGGACGATCAGCCTCCTCGACCTTCAAATTTCCGCGGCACTGCCCGAACGCTCGGTGGTGATGACGCTCCAAGCGAGGTTATTGCCGATCCTCATCCTACTCAGCCTGAGCGTCGTGAGCCACAGAGACACATTCTCCATCTCTGGCGGGACGGTTTCTCCATGGATGACGGCGATCTGTACCGATTTGACGATCCGGCCAATAAGATGCGCCTTGCGCTTATCGACTCCGGTCGGGTGCCACCAGATTTGCTAGACGTTGCGCCCGATGAGCCAGTCAACGTTGAAGTGCAACCTCATGAGACCAACTATGTGAAACCGAAGAAGGCATATAAGCCGTTCTCTGGGTCTGGCCAGCGTTTGGGTAGCCCAACACCCGGTGTGAGCGGCACGTTCACCCCACCACCTGCACGGTCTACGGGCCCAACTAGCGGGGCTTCATCTCAGCCAACTGCTGCCACAGTCAATGTCGACGACTCCCAGCCGGTAATTAGCCTTCAAATCCGTCTAGGCGACGGTACAAGGCTCCCTTCGAGATTTAACACGACTCATACGATTGGCGATGTGTACAACTTTGTGGCTGCTTCTAGCCCTTCGAGTGCTGCAAGAGCCTGGGTACTCATGACGACTTTCCCGAGCAAGGAGTTATCGGACAAGAGCCAGGTGCTTGGAGAGCTGCCCGAGTTTAAGCGCGGCGGAGTGGTTGTGCAAAAGTGGCAGTAGAGGAAATTTGATTGTCAATTTTTCATTTATGGGCTTCCTTAAGGACGAGACGAGACTGGTGCTCGACGTAGCATATTTGCATCGGTGCGCAGCGACGGTTAGACTAGCTACTTTATGTCACGAAAAATGACGACCAGATTGCCTCTTCCGAGATGACTGAATATCAAGTGTGTTGGCTGTTAGAAACTTTACTCTGATGAGCATTATGATCGAAGAAGCCCATGATATTTTCTTTAATATCCGTTGCAGTTGGCCATTGTGAAATTTGACTCTATGCGAACTCATCCGTCCAGAAGCATGGTTCTCTACTCGGTATAGTTTAACCAAATACCGGAGTGTGCGGGCCATCCGTCATGTCTCGTCTAGCGTTTTCCGCGGATTAACCTCCGAGCTGCGCCTTAGTTAACTGCACGCAATATGTAATCAGTTGCCCCTCGACCTCCGCAAATCGGCCCCTCCAATTAATAATTCCGATGTCAGTTTCGCGACGTCGCATGCGATTAATACAATAACTCCCTTCCACCCTCGAAAACCTCTCCCTGCCGTTCAAGCCTTTTCCTCTCCTCTTAATCTGCGCGACTCCTTAGCACTCATAAAACCACCTAGGGAGGCCAGCCTTTCGATTCATTGCTTAGTCTCACTGCACGGCTATCTGCCAAAATGTCACTCGACGGCGTCAAAAACATTATCCTCGTACGTCAACATTTTCCTTTCCCCCTCCTCCTCTCCAGCCCCAAGCTACGCCGCCAGGACCTTCAATTCCTTTAATCCCCTCTCATCGTTCCCACCCAACCAAATTACTTACCTCCAGAATTCTCCTCTGTATCTTCCACCGACCCCAAACTAACCACATAACAGGTCCTCTCCGGCAAAGGCGGCGTCGGCAAATCCTCCGTGACAACCCAACTCGCCCTCTCCCTCAGTCTGGCGGGCCACTCCGTCGGCGTTCTCGACATCGACCTCACCGGGCCCTCGATCCCACGGCTCTTCAACATTGAAAACGCCAAAGTCACACAGCTGCCCGGCGGCTGGAGCCCCGTCGTCGTGCACCCGGCCAACCCGCGCACCAACACGGGCCTACTACGCGCCATGTCGCTCGGTTTTCTCCTCCGGGGTCGCGGAGACGCCGTCGTGTGGCGCGGGCCCAAGAAGACCGCCATGGTGCGCCAGTTCCTGTCGGACGTGCGGTGGGGCGCCACGGACTATCTCCTGATCGATACGCCGCCGGGCACGTCGGACGAGCACATTGCGCTGGCGGAGACGCTGTTGCGGACGGGCCAAGGGTTGGTGCGGGGCGCAGTGGTGGTGACGACGCCCCAGGCGGTGGCGACGGCGGATGTGCGCAAGGAGCTGAATTTCTGCGCGAAGACGGGGATTGCAGTGCTCGGCGTGGTCGAGAATATGTCCGGCTTCGTGTGTCCGAGCTGCTCGGAGTGCACGAATGTGTTTAGCTCCGGGGGCGGGCATGTGATGGCGCAGGAGTTTGGGGTCAGGTTTTTGGGCAGCGTCCCGCTGGATCCCCAGTTCGGGGCCCTCATAGAGGAGGGGAGACGGCCGGTGTATCCTGCTGGAACGACGGTGGCGGTTGGAGGGGAAGCGAAAGGGGTGGTTGGTAAGGGTGAAGGTGGTGGTGAAGGGGAGGAGGAGAAGGAAGAGGAGGTGTTGTCAGAAGAAGCAGAACAGAGTAGGACGGCGGAAACGCTGGCGCACAAGTATAAGAGTTGTTCGCTGTTTCCGATTTTCGAGGATATCACGAAAGAGCTGGTTGGCAGCGTTTCGGGATGAAGGACGGTCTTTGTCTGCGAATGTCTGCGGGGTGTAGTTACAACTTTTATGTTCGGCATATTGCATCTCTGGGCGCATTACTGGCGCATTGTAGGCGTTTTTGGGTTTATGTAAAGGAGCGAGCGCGAGATTTTTGTATTCAGAGGGAAGAATGATGACGATGATGATGATGATTATTATTACGATATAAGAGATTTCTGCTTCATTCGGACTGAAAATATTGGAATGCAACTACAGCTGATGCCACCCAGAGTATAATCAAGAAAATAGATTGCAAATTAAGAAAAAAGAAAGGAGTCTACTGCCATCTCCCACCACCTCCTGAGGGCGGCGAAGTGACTACATAATTCCATGCTTCTTTGCCGTCAATGAAGAGTCGATACTTGAGCAACGCTTGTTCGTTTGGCGGTTTGTGAGGATATATCTCGATGGCACCGAATTTGGAGTTTCCATCTGGGAGATACCTAAAAGTGGGAATTCATGATCAGCCGACTAGTCCACTACATTCACACATCATGGACATAGAGAGAATGGGGCGACAGGAGAGCCCGGAGGGAAAGTGGGAAAAAGTACTCACTTCAGACACACGTCCTCGTCATCACGCTGCTCATAAGTCCGGACAGGCAAGTAAAACATGCTTAGTGGAGAGACACTAAACTCGTGAACCGCCGCGTTGAGACCGTACTTGCTTCCTCGAGGCGGAGGAAATTGAGTTGCAGCAAATTCGTGTCTGTCACCGCTGAGCACAATGAATCCAACTCCTGTCCTGGTGCTCACGTCCCACATGGCTTCGAGAAGCTCGTTGCGCTCAAAGACGTACCCGGCCCAGGTATCTTCTCCGCCGAATCGCCAGTTCTTGGTAAAGGGGACACTGGTCACCACAATCTTCCACTTGACGCCTTTGGGCACAGGCTCGCGGATCCATTTGATAAAGGCCTTACGCTGGGCGGTGCCAAGCATAGTCTTTCCTGAGCTATTGTTCGGTAGGTCGAATTCTGGTGAGCGATACCGCCGTGTGTCGAGTAGGAAAAATGCCGCGGGCCCCTGAATGAAAGAAAAGTATGTCGCTCCTTTCTCAGCGGGTGTTGGGTTCGCTGCCACGTGGTAGAGGTTCCAGGGGTCGGCGGCGGCTTGGTAGACGCCGGTGGTGTTCTGGTCCCAGTCGTTGGAGATTTCATGGTCATCGTATACGTGAATCCAAGGCAACGTCTTGGACGCACGTGGCCAGTCGGGAGACGAGTATACCCGACGGTATTCGGAGCGGTAGGTCTCGCGGTCAATGCCGAACCGCCGTGGCACGTCAATATAAATGAAGTCGCCGAGGAAGAGCATGAATTGAGGTGGGGGAAACATTTTTTCGACAACTTTGGCCATCTTCCGGAACCCGGGAAAGCCCAGTGGGTGCTCTAGAGGATTGTAAGGAAAGCGTGGTTTGATGCAGCTGCTTGTGAGAAATGTAAATGGAGAAATGTCGGAATTGGTGGTATGTCCTGGCGATGGGGCGGTCCGGAACTTTCCCTTGTGGTCGTTTGAGACGGACCATTGGTAGGGAGTGTCAGGCTTGAGACGGGAGATTGTGACGGTGCTGGTAAAGTCGGTGAAGTTGTCGAGGAAATAAATTGTTCCGCCGGGCTTCCATCGATCGCCAGTGTAGTCGTCGACTCGGTAGGAGACATACAGCGGAAGAAGGGTGTTGTTGGGCTCTCGCACGAGGATTTTGGCAGATGTGTCAGACACAAAGCCTACGCGTGCAAAGGAGAGGTCATGACCAGGGTAAAGCACGGGAGCGTGATAGGTCAGATCGGCAACCATAAGCGCAAGGAGGACGTTGATCATGAATGTCAGGCAGCTCCATAACGTTGATGCTGGGCTCGGCAGGCCGGTGAGTAGGGTGCGGATTATGCGCGGATCGGACTGGGCCAGTAAGAGGGTTTCATAAATTGAAATTTCTTCCCGGGTCTGTGGCGGAGGCTTCTTGTCGTTCCTCAGGTTCGTGGAATGCGAGGCCGAGGAAGCCTTGTTTGGAGGTTTCGACCGGCCAGTTTGTTCGGACACGGTAACGTCAACTTCAGCAGCGACAAGTTCTTCGGACGGAGTTGAGAGAAGGCTTGTAATAAAGGATGGAACATAGACGGATAGGAGAGAGAATACGGCAACTGGGCCCCACTATCAAATGCATGTTTAGGTTTGAAACAGCAAAGAAGTCACCGTGCGTCACATGATACATACATGTCCGGGAATCTATCGAGAATGTTAGTTACGTTATAGAAGAATGTGAAGATTAGAAATAATCGCAAAAGCAAAGAAAAAAACGAACCCATCTTAGAAATACATAGGCGATGAGCCTGAGGCTCAGGGAACTCAGCGTCGTGAGGCTATTGATTAAGAATGGCATTTTTAGAAAATGTGTATGGTGCGCTGCACCGGCTAGGCAAGATTTCACCAATAAAACAGACTCCGATAGATGGTTATTTAAATGTTTCAAAAATATTGAAGATGGAATCACCAAAGGATGAATGTTTCAAAAGAAGGCTGGATCAAAGACCCCATAAGTATGTTCCCGGGGGGCTCGAGGGTTGGAGATGTTCTTTGTTTGGGGTCCCCAAAGAGGAATGTTTGGGCTGCACTGACGTCTTTCACAAGTCAGCACGTGAAGGAAGCTCTCCGATTGGTGGACCGGATCAACTATTTCCCGAAGATAAATGACTAAGATATTAATCAGCATCTTGTCTTATCATATCTGAGACCCTTTTAGGAGAAAAAGATGGATTTAAATTGGGAAATTGGAAACTGCAAAATGCAAAAAGCAAAAATGTAGAATCATTATATTGTATTTGTTTATAATGCATCGAAGTGAGAATCACCTACAGGGTAAATTTCCCCAGGTTGACGTAAAGAACTTCCCCCTTGTACCAGAGTTCCCCTCTCTCGTGCTCTGCAACGGCGCCGGCTTTCGCCGCCAGTCGCAAGTCAGGAACCGAGAGTGACTTTTATCAACACTATATAACGTATGATGTGGAAAGTACTCTCACTAAACCCCTGGTCGAGCTAAAATTAAGTCGGGCGAAAAAAAAGTCCCGCACGCAGCGAACAAAAACAGGAGAACTGAGAGGAGAGAGGTAGAGAGTGTAAGAGAGGAGAGAAAATTCCACACGCACACGACCCAGAGCTCGAGCAAGAATAAAAATGACATGCCCTTCCCCCCATCTTACCTTAGGTAATTAACTGGGGTAAATTTACTGCCTCTTTCCGGCGCTCTGTTGGTTACAGACACACCGACGATCAACGTCTCGTGAGCCGTTGCCATTTTGAAAATTTCCACTTTTGCCTCATCACTATACATTTTGACAACTTTCCTGTGTGATATTGAAGATATTCACCCTCCCTGTGATTCGCAATAATTCGTTTTGCTTCTTTTCGAGGTACAGTGCAATATTCTCGTTGAAACACTGCCACCCCTAGTAGGGCTCTTTGACCTTGGTGGGCCTAACAGTTCCACTAGAAGCGACACCATTTCACTTTTGCAACCCAAACGATCAACTTGCCCCATCCAACGAATTCCCTCGACGCCATCGCGTTAACTTTTCAATTGCTACTCAGTCGCTGCTGCCTCAAGAAAAGCAGCATCTGGCAAGTCTGCCACTGCACGGGGTGACTGCCACGCTGGCAAAACTACATTTGCGTGCCTTCTCAACGGCTAGGCTCTGAGCAGCCACCGTGAAAATACTCCATCCCACAAAGTCCTTGTGATCTTCATGAGCCGGAAGGACCTACTGCGATTCTTGTCCAAGCCTGCAAAGTGAGTGAATCTGCTGTCATGTCTCATCTTTTTCTGTCCCTTTCTCCGGTCAGTGTGTGCTTGCATCAATCTCAGCGTTGAATAATAAACGCTCTTCACGAAAAAAAACACAATCGGTGACTGTCAATTGACGAGAAGACTTCACTGACGCGTGATTACTTTGACAGGCCCAGATAACACGAGCTACCTGCATCCTCCTCCTCTTTATAATCTCCTTATTTTAGCCAGAGAAGTCATCCTCCTCTGCTAGACCCGATACTTTCCCAGGGGTATCGGAATCTGTCAGATCGAGGATCCACAGCGATATCCATCATTTCGCGGCGCAAAGCCTCTTTTATTCCCCTTTCCGCTCGACCTCCATAACGTCCTTTTAAGGTCGTTGCCATATTTTAACCTACACTGCTGCTGGTGACGCCAGCGTTTGAGTCTTTCCCACTTTTTCGTGGGCCTTCTCTTCTCAGACGGATTCCGCATCATTCGTCTGGGTGGCAGATTGTGCTTCACTGCCCATAATCTCTCCTCCGATCCGACATACGTGGTCAACAAGTAGCAACGCCTTATAGCGACTTCCCAGCGTCAAACAAAAAGATCCGTTCCCGAACGGACACGACAACTTGGAGATGGTCAACTTGAGTATTCCCAAGCATTATACTGCGTCTCCCTCCTCTTTTAGTGGGACGCCGCATTTGACAATCAATCGCGATGCAACTATTGACCTTGACTCAACCAATGCTTTTGAGGGTACGTCTGCTTTCACGATGCCTTTTTTCCATTTTGCTTTTTGGGGTCCTGATGTTGACAATTTTTTTTTCCCAGGTCCCGAGAAGCTCTTAGAAGTATGGTTCAGCCCCTCTGCGGATGCCATTCCGGCGTCTGCCGCCCTTAACGGCCTCAAATCTGTCCCCTTTGAAACCTGGACTGAGATGCTCGACCTCGTCAACTGCAAAGTACTATCCGTGGTGGAATCGCAGGACATGGATGCCTACCTGCTCTCCGAGTCGAGCATGTTTGTCTTTCCGCACAAACTCATTCTCAAGACGTGTGGAACCACAACTCTGCTCTGCGGTCTACCTCGTATGCTCGAGATTGCCGCGCTCACCGCCGGTTTCCCCCACGTTGCTGCCAATCCGCTCAAGGGCATTCCCGCGGCTGCCACTCCTTACAGAGTGTTCTATAGCCGGAAGAACTTTTTGTTCCCGGACAAGCAGCGCGGACCTCACCGCAGCTGGCGCAACGAGGTCAAGTACCTGGATAACATGTTCCAGGGAGGCAGCGCGTACATGGTGGGCAAGATGAACGGCGAGCACTGGTACCTCTATATTACTGGCCCAGGCACCATGCTTACCCCGCCGTCCACGCCAGAGCACGAAAAGTTCCCTTCGCTGCGCACGGAGACCAAGGTGATTCAAGTACCAGGTGAGATGGAGGCCATTGACCGAGCTGGCGTCAAGGGAGGACACGCGGAGGACGAGACCCTCGAGGTGCTGATGACCGACTTGGACGAGGAGAACGCAAAGCAGTTCTATCTCGAACACGCGAGTGCGGTCGCGGAAGGTCGGTACCTTCAGCAAGCTCGTGAGGCCCGCCAGAACGCGCATGACAGCCTGGGATTCCTCAGCAATGGCGCCAACGGCTTGAATGGACATGCTGCCATCAACGGAAACGGCGGCTACATGCACCACGATGAGGGCTTTGATGTGTTTAGCAATACGTCTTCTGAGAATGGAGAATTCTCTTCGCGCGAGGAGGCGTTCCCCGAAGAGCTTACTACGGAGGGTCACGCCCTGGGAACCGTTGTGAGCGATGTCTCTGGTCTTTCCGACGTTTACCCCGTCAGCAAGTACCCGGACGCGCGCATTGATGCATATCTCTTTACGCCTTGCGGCTTCTCGGCCAATGGTGTTATCCCGGCACCCGATCGGAGCATCAACGCCGGTGGCCAGACTCACTATTTCACTGTGCACGTCACCCCGGAGCCTCACTGCTCGTACGCTTCCTTCGAGACCAACGTGCCTAGCCGCCAGACTGGCCGTGAGACCGCCGAGATTGTTGAACATGTTGTTGACATCTTCAAGCCGGGCCGATTCACCGTTACTCTGTTCGAGGCCAAGCCAGTTGTTGATGAGACGACTGGACCCAAGGACCCCATTCAAGAGATCAAGGCGCTCGAGCGTGCTGCTGCTCGTCGTCACTCTCGCATGGACACCATCAAGGGATACCGTCGAGTTGACCGGATCGTGCACGACCTGGATGACTATGATCTAATCTTCCGCTACTATGAGCGGAACGATTGGAAGGGAGGTGCTCCCCGTTTGGGTGAGATCAACTTGTAGACTGGTCACATGGTTATCCAAATCTGATCAAATCGTCGTTGGCCTCTTTGCGGTTCGCTTTGCCGCGGGCTGCGTTTAATTTTTCGCCTGAATTATTTTCCACGGGCTGATTCAAGCATGTCTCCACTCATTTTAGTCACTCGGCAAATGATTCTTTCTTTTGCAGTTTCAACTACCCTTTGTGTCTTTCTCTGCTACACGTGCTCATCACGAAGCACTCCGTCATGCGTTTATATCATGTACGACGTTCCTGTCCTTATCTCATCGTTAGCTGGTACTTTTTGTCCCATTTTTAATGTTCGACCCTGCATAATGATTGCCCGTTTATCGTGGCAACTTGCGATTTCGCTCTGTTATTTGTCGTTAGTTTCTAGCCCGTTACTCTAGCATTCTCTACGCTCATGAATTGCAACGTATTTGAATTTTTAATTGTCCTCAATTCCTAGTCTTGTCCACTGTGCACTTTCAATATCAAGTGAAATGACATGAATTACATATTAAGTGATAATAAAATGTTCATTGAATTTTAGTTCGATCGTAGGATGCGAGTATTTACACCCTGAAAACGCCCTTCCATAACTCCGCATTTTTGAAATTCAGAAAAGATGATACGACAAATATATCCCACCCCGTAACGCAGATTGGATTCAATTAAAATCGATGAAACCCCTCCCCACCCCCATTTCCCGGGTTAAGGATACGATGAAGCCGGCAGCCGACTACGAATTAGAATAAAGACGTTCATTTAGGACGATGGAGAAAGAGATGAAAAGACAAAGGAGGAAGTTTCAATAGAACAAAACCCGTCAAAGACGCACGTCAAAGAAAAAAACAATCTCAGCGAAACAGTCTCTTCCCTCTCGTGCGCGACGCAGTATTCTCCACTCCCGTCAGACTCAGTCCTCGGAAGCCCGCACTCCCGCCTTCTCGCTCCTTTTTGTACCGTCGCAGCGCTTCTCGCAGATGGTCTGGGAGTAACGGACCGCGCTCTTCTTCGCGGAACGAATCCGGATCGAAATCTTCGTTGTCATTGTCGTCGGAGTTGGAGTCGCTGTCGTTGTCGTTGTCGGAGTCGGATGCTGAGCGCTCTTTTTTGGGCGCTGCGATATGAGGCGCGTTCCCGGCTGTAGGCCCGCCTGCGCCGCCGACTCCACCTCCAACTCCAACTCCGCCCGATGCTCCGTTGACGCCGATGCCGAGTCCGACGCCGGATGCGCTAGCAGCAGCGTACTGCGGTCTGGGAGTCCCGGGGCCAGAGCCAGGGCCAGAACCAGCAGAAGGACCGAGGGGAGCTGTGGAGTGAGCGGGATGAATGGGATGAACGGGGTTCATGGGACCAGCGGAAGGGATAGAGGAAGGACCAGTCGAAGGAATGGAAGAAGGACCGGCAGAAGGAATAGAAGAAGAATGGATTGAAGGAGTTGGGGGATTAGTCGTGCGATACGGCGACGAGACAGACGCGGCTGCGTAGGGTGAGGTATTCGGATAAGCGGGATTGGGAACAACACCTGTGGCGGTTGCAGCTCCAGCAACGGAGGGGTTGGGTGGTGGATTAGACGCAGGTGCAGGCGCAGAGTAGGGCGAATGAGCGGCCGAGTATGGGGACTTGGGGCCGTAAGGGGATGCGTGTGTGGTGGTCGTGTACGGAGAAGAGTGGCCGGATGGGTTGGTAGTAGTGGTAGTAGAATAAGGCGACGAATGAAGAGTCGTGCTCTGATTATGTGTCTGCGGGTACGGCGAGGAGCGGCCCGCGGGGTTCTGGGGATAAGGGGAGGTATGTCTTTGCTGTGCTTGACCGGTTGTAGGTGTGAGGCGGGCGCTTTGGCTGTATTGAGCGGCGTTGATGTTGACGTTGACGTTGGTGTTGAGGCTGAGGTTGGTGTTTGATGAAGGGGGACGTTGAGGGTTGTAGGGGGCGGGTGGCTGGGTTGGCGTTGAAGGCTGAGATGGGTTCGGGTTGGGAGATTGAGTTGCGGGTTGTTGAGTAGCGTTTGTTGTGTTTGAGGGGTTGGGGTTGGGGTTGGGGTTCGCAGTGGTTGCTGCTGGGATAGAAGGCCGAGGACCAGCGGCAGCGGGGATTGAGCCGGGCGTGCTGGCTTGAGATCCTGTTCCTGAGCTAGGTCCAACGCCGGCGTAAGGGTTCGGAGATAAGTGGGGCGTGGCATTTGCTGTGCTAGGTGCGCTGCTTGGCCCAGTGGCGGCGGGTGCGTTTGCTGCAGGGGAGTGATGATTGGTCTGAGTATTTAGGGTGTTGTTGTTGTTATTGTTGTTGTTTGGATTTGGAATTGCCGTGGGATTTGGTATGGTATGTGCGCTTTGGCTTGGGTTGATGTTCGCATGAGTGTTGGCGTTTGCTGTAGCTTGGTTCCCAGAGCCTATTGTGGCTGGGCTGGTGCTGATGGTCTGCCCTGGAGCCGGGGAATTCGTTGCTGAGCCTGGACCAGTAGTAGATGCGGGTGACTGAATGTTCGGGGCTGATGATGTCGCAGTGCCGTTCACTCCATTTGGCTTTCTAGAAGACTGAGCATTTTCAGTGGATTTTCCCCCGCTGGTGCCGTTGGTAGAGGCTTCACCGGTGCCATTGGCCTTTTTGTCATCGCAATTAGTCTCGGCTTTCTTTGTAGCTTCCGCTTCCGCTTCCGCGTTTTCTTTTGCTGCCTTCTCGGCCTTTTCTGCCTTTCTCTGTTGCTTGCGTTCCCAGCGAGCGCGCTTGGCTGCGAGAATCTCCTGCCGCTGAACTTCTCGTGCTTTTTCAATCAATTCGCCGATAAAGACTTTGGTATAGCCGTTAATTGTGGTAATGACGGAGGGTGGGACGGATTGTGAGAGGGTCTGGTTGGTAATCTGCTTTATTGTCAGAATTGCGCCGAAGGGTAGATTAGAGTGTGGAGTATTTCCATCCACAATGCCAGATCTGGTCGGAACACGTACCTTTCGGACAGTCTCCTTTCGTAGCCTCGCTCGTCGAAATAGAGTGTATCGATCAACTTGGTCTGGGGTCATAGCTTCAACGAGGACTCTGCCAAATTATTAGCTCAGCCAAACACATCCCTTCTGCACCGGATGATCAAGTCCCATCCGGAGGCGTAAAGTAACGTACGAGAGCTTGTATTTTTCCTGCGCCTCATCGACCTTCTCTCCATCAGCTTCCATGACGGCGTCGTCTCCACCAACGTCATCTTCATCTTCTTCATCGCCGCGCTCGTCTTCGCCCGCTGCACCTCCTCGACCGCCTGAGACGCTCGCCGTTCCTGTTCCAGTCGTCTTTGCACTGCGCACACTCCGTGTGTCTGCATCTTTACCGCGCCCTCGCTTCTTGCGCCCTGGGCCACCTCCACCTCTTCCTCCGCCCATCGACATGGTTGAGCTCTCGACACTTGGCGAACGCGCCCCATATTGAGACTCGTCTTCCTCCGGAGGAAACGACGTCTGCCTGAGGGGATGAGTACTAGTCGTTGAAGTGGCAAGGGAAGCTTTGCGACGTTTGGGAGCTGAGCCAGGTCCAGCGATTGATGGCCGTTTCCTGGATCCTTGTGCGCCGGAGGAGATGTATGGCGGCGATGTCGGTAGATGCGGTGGTGACGACATTTTGTTCTCCGCTTCGAAACGCGTCAATGAATCAAAAAGGAAGTATCGCTTTGACTTGAGCTGATACTGAGGGATATCCTCAGCTAATTTATCTCAAGACCAACTGCGAAGTCGAAGTGATTTAGAGAGGGCTTGAGAGCGCGATGAGCTTGAATGGAGATTGCCGCTAAGGATACAATGGAGTTAGGCGACAATAGACGCCCGCGTTTAACTAACGGCTACCGCTCTCGGCTATTGATCGTCCGTTAGGATAGCTAACTCATTGCTTTCTGATTTATGTATAGTACAATAAGCTATTCCCTTTGAATGAGACAATACAAAATTCAGGGTTGCTTCCATTAAAATGTGCATACACACTGTGATTGGCTAATTTCAGATTCGAATTGCCGTAGTAATTAAAAGGAACTTTGCGGTAAACAGTCACCATCATTCACATCTTTTGACTGTGCTTATCACTTTATATATTTTCACTCGTAAACTAGGTTTAGAATAAACCTACAGGAAAATGGATTGTAATGGCCGCATCCAAGTAGAAACTGAACCATGTGCGAGGATACGAAATTTATCAACTTCTTCGGATTGAGGACCACGAGAAGTTATGAACCAGGACACTCAGGGGAGAGAACATGCTTTTATATGCACCATATATACAAATAGCCAATAGAAAGAAAATATAATATACATCACGTAATATGAGACGCCGGTATCGTACAAAATCCTAAATGTCCATCTTTAAGCTGTGACACCGAGAGGGGCCAGAATCTTCTCTCTTGTGAGTGTGTTAGCGGCCTCGCCGCCTCTCTGCAGGGCAACAGCGCCGACAATGGCATACATGCTGTGCGCAAGAACAGTGTCGATACCGGATCCCGAGAGGCTTTCAGCCTAAAGCAGAATTACAAGTTAGCACCGCCGATGATTATTGTAGCGTGTCTAAGCGGTACTCACGTTCTTAGGCTTCCATCGAAGGACCCTGTTAAGGCCATACGAACTAGCCAGCTGAGCCAACCTCTTCTTGTCCACCACCAAATTGCGCGAGCGATCGGTCGTGTTCTCGAGACCTTCAAGGGCGGGATGTTTGAACGGAACGCGGCCATACTCGTCCTTCTCAGCATCCGCTGCGGCGAGCGATTGTTGCGTACTCAGCGGTGACTGCACCGTAGCGAGATTTGCTTGCAACTCGATTATCCGTTTTCCTAATGATTCAAGAAAATCCTCAGTCAGCCTTATTGATGCCCCAGCTCCGTTTATTTGGCCCTTCATCTATTATATCCATACCTAAGAAAGCCAGTCGGTCGTTGAATCCTCTTCTGCCGTGGTCAAAGCTCTTATGCGTGACGGCAAGCCACTTGACCTCCTCGCTGAGCATCTGATCTCCGCGGTTTCCTAATATACGGACATAGAACCGGTTCAGTTTCTCCGGATCTTCGTTGGACAGCCACTCCCTGCGGGGCCGCGGTCGTGATCGTACAGGCGCAACCATAGCTCTTGGCGTCGCCATCCAGCGCGGCGCCTCCGGCGCAGGAGGATCTTGCTGGCATGCAGGGGAGGCGGAAAGATAGCGGGCCTGGGAAGCCGATCTTTGAGTGAAGAAGAAAGACGCAGGCCTTGAGGCCGCCTGTCGGCGCGCAAAGTTGGCTACATTGGCCATTGGCCTAATAGGAAAATGCGAAGCCATTGCAACAGCTGCAAATATTTTGCAGCGTCGAGGCAAGGAGCAATGGCTTGGAGGACTGGCGTGGAATAGTCGTGAGGGAATTCGATGATGATGGTGATCGATTTCAACTGTCGCCCGTGTGTTTTCTCCCGTTCGATTCAGTTTGGGAGTCGGGAAAACATAGGACGCTAAACCCAAAGGAGAAGCATCATCATGTCCGCCCTCGATCGTCACGAAACCAACACGACACGCGCAGCTCTGGATCCCGTTAATCTTTCTTACTTTCCTTAATTTTTGAAATTTTTTAATATTTTGTTTTCGTTTCAATGGATCTTTCTGACCTAGGCTCTCTGCCTTTCAGTCGCTTGTTTACAGCGAGGCTGGCCAAGGTCCTACCTCAGGGCGTTTCATTCAAAGTTCATCATATCTCGACTCCTCCCACGCGATGCGTGGCTATCTTCAATGCTCCTCCTGGCCAGAAACCGGAAAGGACGTATTGCGAGAGTCATTTTTTGACCGTGTCGACTCAAAGAAATGACCAACATCCTCAAGGTCTCCTTCTCTACGCGATGGAAATCCTCATCTACACCACTGCGCACCTTACCACGGTATTTGTCTCCAAGGCAGATTCGACCGGATACCTGCACCTTCTTGAACTTCCCTCTCACACACCGTCACTGCTGCGCCTGATATCGACCGAGTTCCTTTCATTCTTAGTCGAGGCAAGACAACGTCCGAATGTGCCGTTAGTCGTGGCACTTTTCGCCAGGGCTCAAGCTCAGTACCTTTTCCCAGGCAGCGTTGAAAATTCAAAGAAACACGTACTAGACGACAAACAGTTGGTAAAATGGTGGTGTCGCGTGTTGGATCCAGTATTGCGAGAATACAATGCCGAAGAGAGCGACGAGGAAGCTGCCTGCGGTCGACAAGCGAGAGGAACTACGGCCAAGAGTTACCTGATTGTACCGGGTTTCGATCAGTATGAAACTGCGTCCTTCTTTCCCCCAACAGCACGGTCAGATCCCCAAAACCGGAAACGATGGGTTAATGCGCACCCACTACGTCAACTTTCCCAACATCCATCTGCGCCGCCACGATGCTTGATACCCCACTTCCCAGACGATCCCAAGTCTCGGTTTCTGGACGAATTGGACGAAGAAATTCCAGACGCCAAGGCAGCGCATATGACGGATAGCCCATCCAAGGGTGGAAGCGGAAAATGGAAAAGCGTTAAGACCCTGGAACAATTCTGGGAGATGATGGCATTCCGTCAAGAATGCTCATCGGGCAGACTAGTCGGGTTTATATGGGTTGTTTTCAATCCCGCGGAGCAAGACGAAGCTGAAGAATACTTGAACGCTGAAACGCCTTCTTCGATACACACTCCATCGCAATTCTCGGAGGCGCAGGTGCCTGACTCTCCATCTCGTCGCCCTCCCAAACTGATGCACGACGCCATGCAGGGGCCAGTATCCTCTGCTTCCAAGGCGCGAAAACTCTCTGGTCGCATAATTCCGCGGCAACCGCGAATTAAAAAGGCACTTGGTGCAAAATTCAACTCAATGCCCGAACACACCAGATATTATTCCTGGCCAGTCACCAGTCGCGGTCAGGCGCTCCTTGATGAGATTGAGTACAAGCGTCTGACCGAAAAGCTGCATCGACTGGACTTTGCCGATGAAAATACGACTCAAGCTAGTACCAAAAAATGGATCGGAGAAGCGGCTGTCGCTGCGGGCTTGAAACCTTCCTGGGGTGAGATTGTCGTCGGTGAACGCATACTGCCAGTAGAAACCCCGGTCAGCCAGCCTGCTGCAAGTCCCTCTGCAACTGTCACACCAATGGTTCGTAAGAAGAGGAAAGACGCTCCGGAAGCGAGCGAGTCTGGCCGAACGGATGTGGGCGCAGGAGATGCAAACGTGCTATCGGCAGGATTTGTCCGAAAGAAGCCTAAAGTTGGCGAGCCCACGGCTGATACGACGGCGACGGCTCTTTCTGAAAGCTCACCGACAGTCCTCAGTGGAAGTATGATCAGGAAAAAACCAAAAGCGGGATGATTTGTTTTTGATATGCTTATGTATACCATTCGGGAGGCTTACGGTAGGCTTACGGTAGGCTCAGGCGTTGACTGGTGTTTATTGCTTCAATAATCTGGCTGCAAATGGCTCTTTGGATACATTCTTGCTGCATCAGTCTCCCCAATCGACAGCGGGGAGTGCAATATCTAATCTATAACTTTTTAATCAATACAATTGACGGGCAATATTCACCTGCCTAGGCACTGCTATTGGAGTCCATTGCAAATGCCGTGAGAGTGTGATTGATATGTTCGCATGGTGAATATACTCGTCATATTCAAGGCTTTTGCACATCAAATTCAACAATGGCTTTGGTCATCATTTATGTAAGGTAGTTGACCTATCATGGAAAGCACATGTTTAGATGTTTCCTTTTCGGACGATATACTCCTAGCCGTCGCGTCAGTGGGAACCGTGTTGTTAAGCGAATCTCTCCAAGCGCGGATGCGCCGAAAGTAAACAAACCACCCTCGAGCTACACCCTATCGACAAAGTTATTTGGAAGCAACAACAACAACAACAACAACCACAAAAATGAGCGGCTAGAATCTCATGACAGTATCTGATTCTACACCGCATGAAAGGTCCATTTTCAGCATCTGATCATATTCAAATTGATGTGTAAGGCCAGGCCTACAATATCAGTTTTTAAGCAAAATGGAGGCTCTCACTCCGAGATCTGTTTCACCAGACGGAAACCTTTCCATTGCCTCTTCAATGACCAATTCAACACCAGAGGCCAGGCTAGATGCCCTCAGGTTAGTATTCAACAGCCTCACTACTTTTGTCGTTGACTTATGGCCTAATGAATCTGCCTCAGGACAAGGCAAGCCACACGTAGCGGATCTTCGGCCGCGGATGCCGACGACGAAAGCATGACAGATTTCACGGCAAATCTCGAAGAATACGTTAATGGAAACGTGAACCTGGATAAAACTCTGCATCAAGGGAAGGATTCGCTTTCTATGCCGCCGAGGAAACAGCATTATCCCGACGATCGCAGTGAGGGTAGCACGCATCACACTATGAAGGAAGCCAATGATGGACCAAGCGATTTTACACAAAATATGGAGCGATGGATGCGAGATACGATCGAGCGCGATATTGGCAGTACCGGTGACGAGATTTACAATAATGAGGATGATGTAGTTCCCGAGGAGATCCCAGATGACCAGAGCAATGAGCGGGCAAGAGTAAATACGCGAGAGGGGAGCTCCTTTTACCCAGTGGATGCATCTACACCTGATCCCAAGGCCGAGCGACGATTATCAAACGAGTCGAAGCGATCGAATATGTCTTCCCAATCCGCTCAACCTCCAGCTGCGACACAAGCTAGGGCAGAGGAGCCAGTGACACATGATATCGATGAGGAACGTGAGGAGCTGAAAGTTCAGATTTCCAATCTCTTGCAGCAAGTGGAAAGCTTGCATAAATCTGCCCTGGATATTCAAAGGGCCAAAGAACGAGCCGAGACTGTGGCAGCCGCACAAGAGAGGAGACTTAAAGACAAGGATGCGGAGATTCTAAAGATTCAAGACATGGTAGAACGGATCACAGAGCTACAGGAAGAAAAGCTCAGAGACAAGGACGAGGAGCTTAGCAAGCTGAAAGCTTTAACGGAAGAGAAGGGAAAAGCGCAAGAGCAGAGACTCAAAAACAAGGATGAAGAGCTGGCCAAGTTCAAAGAAGAACTGGATGCTGCAAAGAAGGAGATTCATGATGAGTTGGCGAAGCTACAGGAACTGCGGACTGTGCAGCCAAGGCCGGTTTCTGACCCAAATCAGGCGCCTAACCTCAAAGAGATCGATGATCTGCGGAAGGAAGTGCAGCAGTTACGGTCAAAGCTTGCTCAGACTGAATCTGTACGCACGCCAACAGGCTCGGTGAATAGCCCTAAGAAAACTCGGTTTAGTTTACCAGGAGTGGACTACGAGGGGCTGTGGCCTGAATCAGAGTCGAAGATAAAGATCCTTGAGGCTGAGCTCAAGGCCCTGCAGCAGCATACTGCAGCAAACAGGGCTGGCGATATCGCCTCTGTTCGACATCTTGAAACCAGTGTTGATGGAATCAAGATTGATGTCAGTGGAACACAGCAAGATATCGCTTTTATTAAGGTCCAGGCGGATACGTGGAAGAGTGAAGCTCTTTCTCGAATTAGCGCCCTCGAAAATGCGCTCGAGTCCACCAGACAAGAAGCGTCTGACGCTCGAGTTGAGGCAACGGCTCAGGGCGCGAAGGTGGCCTCGGAGATGAAGGTTGTCACAACGGACATGGATAGGTCCAAGACCGAAACCGGTCTTAAAATCGCCGCGCTCGAAGCTGAAGTCACATCGATCAAATACGACTCTACAACGCATATCGAATCTCTGAAATTGCAGATCCGAAGCATTCAGCGAGATCTTGATGAGACCAACCGATTACTTCAGTCTACCGAAAAAGACTCCGATGCGCATTCCCGGCTGATCGAATCCCAAGCCAGTGAGATTAAATCTCTCAATCTGACGATTAGCAAGTACGAGCGTGAAAGCCTGGAAAGACAGGACCTGCTTGACCAATATAGTCGGGAGCTCAAAGAGCTCGGTTCTCAGCTCGAGGTCTTGAGAAAGGAGCGTTCAGAGCAGTCGCTTTTGCCAGAATCTAACCTCTCTCGAACAAATATAGATCAAGACTCCGCCGATGAGTTCGAAATAAGAAATCAACGGCACATTGAGGAGCTGAAAGAGGAGAACCGACGAACAATCGAGCATCTTGGCCAAAAGCACGATGAGGAGGTAAGCAAACTGAAGGACCTTCTTCTCAAGGCCGGAGAGGGCATGAAGAATCGCGAGTCCCGACTCACGAGCGAGCATGCCAAGGAGATTGAAGTTCGAGAAGACCAAATTCGATCCCTTGAAATTGCGCTTGCGCAAAATGAAGAGGCACTAGCCGAAAGCGAAGAAGCTTTGGCCAAGGTCAAAAGGGATGTGCCATCAAAACGCAAGGCAGATACCAAGGCCAGAAAACAGAAAGTCCGCTTCGAGGATGAAAGCAGTGACAATGAGTCCGACGTTGACCACGACCACACGCGACACGAAGATGAGACGGATATGAGTCTTCTAGGACCTCCTGCAGCGAGAACCTCTCGCAGTAACTTGAAAACGAAAGGGCAAAAGTCTTCTACGCAAAACGCGAGGAACGCCAAGAGTTCAAAAGCCCGCACAGCAGGGGACAGTGAAGAGAGTGACAATGACATTAATTTCGATTCTGCAGAAGAAACCACACAATTGAACATTGAAAGGGCAGACTCCAAACCTAAGCCGCACGACGAGTCATCTAGCCTCTCAGAACTTCGCCAAGCTGTGTCTATTCTTTCAAAAAAGCTTAACGCGTCACAGACTGAAGCCAAGCTGGCACAAACAGAGTATGCCAGGTTGGCAGCAGAGGCCAAAGAGGCCAAAGCTGAAATTCAGGCCACCAAGAACGACAACGATGAAATCAACCGAGCTTTGGAACGCAAATTAGCAGAGAAGTGGCGCGCAAAAGAGCGAGAATGGCATCGCAGATTGGATGTACTTGAGAAGGATAAGCGTGATATGGCAAAAGTTCTGATGCAACAATGGGGAAAGATGGAGGTCGGTGAGACAGATCCCTTGCAAAAGTATAAATATCAGTATGTCATGCGTACGGAAAAAGGCAAGGAGCAGCGGGAAAAACTCAGACAGAAGGATGTTGAGCGATAGTTGAAGTTGAAGTGGGTGTCTAGATCATGGAAGGAGAATACCTTCGAGCTCTGCATGGTCTGAATAGTTATGCCCTTATTGGGAATTGTGTTTGGGAAAAGCCAAGTGAACTGTACGAAGACTTATGGTCATGAATTTGTGTTGGAAGATTTTGAGTTTGGAGTGTTTGGCGTCATTGAAGAGATTTTTTTCCTGCGCGGACATCATGGGTACATAGGGTTCAGATCCTCTATATCGAGATTTTCACAGAGTGTTTAAATTCAAGCATTTCATGTTAAAACCATGGGAAGAAATTTTGTTCATTGTTGAATTCTCTGAATGGATATCTATGAAGTATGTCATATTTCGATACCGTTCGCCCTTAGAAGCATCGATGGAGAGGATCAGCGAAGAAACACATGCTGTATTGCTATATGCAATGGTGAAAGAGGCCAATAAAATGACATACTGATCTATATTAACACAGTTGGTCTCCATTCCGAGAAGGAAAATATCAAAGAGGCTGTTGTTGGTACCCAGCTATCAATTCTCCTGGGCTCTACTCGACTCCATTCTATGGTAAATGCAATGCTCGATCACCAACATAAACAATTGAAGGACCTCCTCTCGCATCAACAAAGACAGTTCCTTGACCAGGACCTTGAAAAAGTGTTGCGTCGACAACCATATATGTGGATCTCGTGGACGTCAAGCCAGCTTCCCTGAGCTTGTTCTCAATGATTTCTCGCTGGTCAGGCAATGCGACCTGTCCATCAAACATTGCACTTATTACCCAAGTTGTATTTTCAGGTCGAAAATACTCCCGGACATGCCGATATAGATTTATTAATTCGTTCATTTTCGCTTCCACATGCCTGTCGGCCGCATATGGATCATGCCAATCACGTCCTGGATGCGGAGGCAAATGGGCCAGGATCGCGGCCAAGGGAGAGATAATGGTCACCACGCTGCACCCGTTCAACCCCGCAGTTCCAACACTTCGCTTTGGACCGGTTGGGTCGAATAAGACAAATTTCACTTCGTCCATATAAACTTCATAAGCTTGATTGAGTGACAGAGCTTCTGCGAGCAGCCCTCCCATTGAACTTTTCTCGAATATGGCGATTGATTGAAGAATAAAACTTTCATGCACAACATGAGAATAAAAATTAAGCAATTGGAATTTCAGGGAATATATACGGGACAAGCTCTGAGCAGAAAACCGAAAAAAAATCCAAGAGTAGGATAGAGGAAGGAATTTAAAGCAGTAAATTAAATATATGATTAATATTGCGGATATAGTACCGATTTATATTTGGAATCATCTTCGCAAAATTTAATATATATCCGTGTCGTCTTCCGCCCCGAATCCGACCCTTCTGGGGGCGGATCCTTGGAAACTCCCACAAGATATTCATAAAATTCAATGCTCGAGGACTCAGTGGTCATGACGGGGTTCCTTGTTTTTCCCTGTCGTATCAGTTCCCTTGAACTGTGGTTTGAGCGCGTAAAAATGAGGTTATTTTGGAGGCATCAGGCGCCTGGAAGCGAGGCTGGTATAAATGGGCGGTTTAATTACCCCCCCTCGCCCCAGAATCAGCCAATGAGCCTAAACGAATAGACGCCCGGCGGTTGGGTAGATCTCCCGGACTGTGTGCAAACAACGAGAGTAGCATTCTGTTACTAGCAGACATTCTATTCTTCCCCCTCTCAGTTTTCAAAAATTCTAGGTCTAATTTTATGCCCCTTTTCTGAAACTTTCCCCCTCTTTTCCTTCGACCATGAGCCGCAGCATTCAGAGCGTTGGAAAATAGACCATGGACCCGGACTCTCATCCAGCTTCGTCTCAACATATATCAAAAATTGGTCCTCCGGATATCCTGATAGATGCAGAGGAGAATATACAGGGCATTGTTGCAGCCAGTGAGCGAGGGGATCTCGATGCTGTGCAGGCCAGATTTGCGACATGCAAGAGCGCTTTGTCCCGAATTGGGAAAAATGAACCTGCTAGTGAAGAAGGAGACTTGACTCCGCTCCATGTTGCCCTGGAAAGGGCAGTGGAACGCAACCATACACATATTGTTTTATATCTGCTGGACCAGGGCATATCAATTTACGCAAACGACTTTGTTCTTGCAGCTCAAAAAAGGAGCTTCGTGATGCTGAAGCTCTTCATAGAGCATGGATGGGATATTAATCATCCCATGGGATGGCGCGAGGGGCCGCCATTAACGTAGGTACTTTAATATTATTGCTCCTTAAGGCTTATATACAGAATGCGCTCGTTCATCTCTCTCTTTCTCTCTTACCTGATCATATTTATTGACTCCCTCGTCCTCTTTATCGATTGTATAATTCCGTGATGTCCACCTGTATTGCGAAGCCTATGGATATCTCCCCACTAGCCTCAAATCTTTCTTTCTATTCTGTTACCTGTCAATGAAGAGCTTGTTTGAAAGCAGGCTTCCACTGACAGTTGTGAAGACCGATCTAATAAGAGTTCTGCAGGCTGGCACTGAATGACGAGCCACTTCTGCGCTGGTTTCTCGCCCACGGTGCTGATCCCAACACCACCATTTTTGAAGAGGACGATTTCACGGTACTTTCCCTTGCCGTTGCGCACGGGTCTTTTGCTACCATAAAAATACTTTTTGAGCGAGGTGGTGGGGACGTGCACCGCGGCCAATTGCTCCATTGCGCCGTGGGGAGAGGCGCGATGGGGCCACCAGGGGCAAGAAATGTTGCATCCACAAAAGCCGTGCCGCGTTCAATGACAGAAGATGAATGCCTACCAGTTATAGACTATTTACTCTCTAAAGGGGCAAATGTCGATGGCATCAAATACCAGAATGATGCGAAGACTTTCTTTCAGCACCAAGCATTTGGCCTAGGAACACCCCTCCATGTGGCCGCAGAAGTGGGGAACCTCACTGCAGTGGAACATCTGCTTATTCGTGGTGCCGACCCGAACGTGAAGAATACCAGAGGCCAACTTGCTTATGAAAGGGCTGAATATTTTGGGCATCTGGCCATCGTCAAGGTTCTGCGGGCATTGAAGGGGGACGTTGCGGAGAAGATTGGACCATACAGCGGCCATATTGGACACAAACCAGACGAAGCTCAACACTCTGGAGCCATATTCATCCCTCCATCTACCTCATCCAGACTCTTGGTTTTTGCCAATTTAGCTCTGTTTCCAGTCATGCTTTGGATTATGTCGACTCGGTCGCCGAGCGTCCCAACATGAAAAAAATTACTGCGAAATCCACTGTGTCCTTGATGTATTCTATCAAATACTTGGGATGGGCTAGGCTTTGGCCACAACACGGATATGATAAACTCTGGAAAAGACCAACAAAGCTGCCATGATCGAAGTAAAAATTCCTTTAATGTCCACTTCTTGCGAGCGACAAGCAAGGCCCTAGTGATATCGATGGCTTCATAGAAATGCAAATACACTTGCAAAAACACTTGAGCCCCGAGCCATTGGACGTTGGAATTTAACCGCATTCATCTAGAGACGGACCTCTCTTTCTTCGACGAATACAATTGGCTTTTCGCCACGTCCGTCCACGAAAAATACCTTCTCGATGTTATCACCGTAGTGGCCGGAACCTGGCTGAATATAAGCGATGTTTGCATATTCCAAAACCGTGGTCTCCAGGCAATTGTCGATCATGTCCCTTAGAAAAGGAGCGGATTGTTTGCCTTCATATATAGCAATGATGATTTTCGTTTGTGAATCCCTAATTGGGAAGAACTTTTCATTTTCGAGAAATAGATCCAGCACATTATTGACTCTTTTCTCATAGATACGGGCCGCAGCTTGAAGCTCATTCAAGTCCTTGCCGTTCCGAGCTGGGTGTTTATTGATATGGCCGACAATGGCTGCCCGATCGGAAACGATGGCAATCACGGTACAACCGGTGAGATCGGAAGTGCCGATGCATAGACTTGTGTCTCTCTCGATGAAATTGATAATGCGTTGTTGATCGGGTTTAACTTTAACAGCATCCCCGTTGGCAACTGCTTCAGCAAAAATGTTCATTATTGTCATTTCTGCCAGTCCTTATATTTTGACCTCGAATCGACTTTGTGTCGAGAGATTTTACCTAAAAAAATGAAGTTATAAGAGTCAATCTAATCCAAAGGTTCGCGGCTTATCACTAGAATTGGCTTACGCTCTTGAAAGAAGACTCCGCAGATTGAGAAGATTCAATAAATGTGGCGTGGATACTGTGGAGAGAAAACAGGAGAATAAACCTGTTGGTATATGGATGTCATTGATGGTTTGTTGGGCAGTCACCGCTGAATATATCAGGCAGGAACGCATTGGATTGAGGAGGGACCAACGGTGCGACCAGTTCTTAACGCAACAACTGAACTGTTTCCGGCGAAACTGGATTCCTATCAAGCATACTTCTACGGGACTGCCAAAAACAACAAAGATCTCACGGCAGTGTCGCTCTTTCCCATTTTTTATCTTTTTGAGGGAAAGATATGTCTTTTCTACTTTCAAAGATGCTTTTCATCAGCATGGATCATAGGCTGGCAATCAATGTAAATACTTATCCGGATCCTGAACTATTCCCTGAAAACTTTACTTACTTCCCTTAGAAATTGCTGAGGCCATGGATCCCGGGCGTGTTATACCTTCAGGGCCGAACGCTTTTCAAATCATGAATCATCGCAGACTGCCTGATGGTATTCGAATGATGCTAGAAGGCTTTGTCATAGCTAGCTATCAAGGGAGTCTTACAAATATGCGCGAATTTCTCATCCCTATCCTGGAGTTTCCACATACAAGTATAACTATCGAAGAAACATCGAAGTACTTCAGCGAAGCGTTTATGCATGCAATTGAACGATATAACTTTCACATTTCCGAATTCCTATTCGATCAAGGGCCGTTCAAACCGCGGATAACACCGGATCATATCATTGCAGCCATGAGAAGCAGATCGTTTGACATTCTCAAGTTGATTCGGAGACATGGGTGGGACATGAATGCATCTTTAGACTTTGGCTTTGTAACTTCTCCGCCGATCAGGTAAGTCTTTCCCTCCAATTCTACTTTCCTCAAAACCCCACTCTCAATATCTATAAGTCTCCTCTAGACTCTTGTCATTGAGGTCCCATAGATATGTGATTATATTCGACCACATTTCATCACAAATGTCATCCCG